GGAAGTCACCCAAGGAGTATCTCTGTTCCCAATTAGAAGTGGAGGCAGAGCTGCTTACGGGGCCTGGGGAGGCGGCTGGCTTGGGTGACAGCTGCTGCCGCTCTGCAGAGAGTAACGATCCGTGGGTTTATATCCATGTGTATAAAATCAGGCTAATTTAAAGATGAATTATGTGTGTGTGTTTTTGGTCCGTTTTCTTTTAATGTTAAATGTTTGATGGCTCCTGTCAGGTTGACATGGTCCCCAAATTTGTGTGAGGTTCAAAATGAGTACACTTTGAAAGAATGACTGAATCCCATATCCAGACAGGAGGTATTAAAATAAAACGGAATCAATGAAATCCCTAAGGGCTCAGAGAAGGGAGCGTGTCTAGGACGTGCATTGTGCAAGAACTTGGACTGGTTACTTCTTTCTCCTCTTCCCTCTGGGACTTCCTGTGGTTAGGAGCCAGAGAATATATCTTCTGCTAGTAGCTGGGAGGGTACCCTGTTACTGTTCAGCTGACCTCGCAAACCTTACCCAGAATGCTTTGAGATCAGGGCTTGCCCAGGGCCACTGGGATGATGTGCTTCCGGTTGTGAGTAGGCAGTGTTAAAATACCATTTTTAAGGGGCCTGAGAGATAGGGCACTGGGTAAGATGCTTGCCTTATACACGCCGACCAGGTTCAATCCCAGGCACCATGTACAATAGCACCAGGAGTGATTCCTGAATATAGAGCCAAGAGTAAGTCCTTGAGCACCACTGAGTGTGGATTAAAACACCTCCCCCACTCTCCCCGCAAGACCATTTTGATACCTTTTTATTTGGGGGGAGAAAAATCATAATAAAGTTTCCATTAGCATTCTCAATCTGTACTGTCCAGTATGAAAGGGAGGCTATGGAACAATTCAAGTGGGGACTTGACTGAGTTGACATGAGCAGGAAGTGTAAAATGCACACCTGAGTTTTAAGACCTAATGTGATTAGAAGAAGGTAAAAATATTGCATTGATTAAAAAATGTTGACTACAGGGACTGGAGCAATAGTAGAGCAGGTAGGGTGTTTGCCTTGCACGTGGCCGACCTGGGTTCGATTCCCAAAATCCCATCTGGTCCCCCGAGCACTGCCAGGAGTAATTCCTGAGTACAAAGCAGGAGTAACTCCTTGCTGGGTGTGACCCGAAAAGCAACAACAACAAAAAAATTGTTGACTGTAGGTCTGAAATGACAGGGTTTTAGATATATTGGAGTGGATAAAACATTTTACTAAATTGAGTGTACCTCTTACACTCAACTCTCAAAAATGTAGCTACCAGAGGATTTAACACTGGGCAGGTGGATCCCCCTGTATTTCTTAGGCTGTGAAACTGTTGTTGGAGTTGGAATTATTCATACTTTGTTAATAACCACATGTAGCATTTACGGGACATTTATGATGGCTCAGTTTCTTCCCCTCTATGATCTAATTTTGAGTCTGAGGGTATTTGTGTGTGAATATGGGGGGGGGGCACACCCGGTGATGCTCAGAGGTTACTTCTAGCTCTGCACTCAGGAGTTACTCCTGGTGGTGCTCGGGAGACTGTCTGGGATGCTGGGGATAGAAGCTGGGTCAGCTGTGGGCAAAGCAAGCAGTTTACCCGCTCTACTGTTGCTCTGGCCCCATGAGTTTTAAATGGAAAAAAACCCTGGTGAGTCTCCTTTCCCCACTCTTTCTCAGATCAGTTTTTGGGGGGAGGTTAAGGGGATCTTTTCAGAGTTTCCTGATGGAGGTAATGCCTTTGTTTACTGCTCATACCCACACAAGGAAAAATTTACTGATCAGCGGTAGGGCGTTTGCCTTACACACAGCCAACATGGCCGACCCGAGTTCGATTCCTCCGCCCCTCTCGGAGAGCCGGGGAAGCTACCGAGAGTATTCGATATGCCAGACACAGTAACAACAAAGTCTCCAATGGAGACGTTACTGGGCCCGCTCGAGCAAATCGATGAACAACGGCAGGGGCCTTCTCCATTTAACACCTAAGAGAGACTGGGGCTAAAGAGCGCCCTCTGGTCCCACCACTGAGATGGGGCAAGGCCAGGCTTGTCCTCTAGGGCCGTGTGAGAGCAGAACTTACCTAAAATGAGTATTTTGGTAATCAGGGCAGAGAACACTGGGACAGTCTCTATCTTTCTGTGCTCCAATTTCCCCATGAAAGGTGGGGTTGTGGTGCTACTAGAGGTCCCTCCGCATCCCCCACATGCAGGAGATGTTCCTTTTATGGTTCCCATTCGGGTTCTATTTCCTCTCTTGATTCTTCCATAGTGCCCATCTGGTTAGGAACGGAGCAGCAAGTCAGGTGCTTTATGGGAAAAGCCGGATAGAGAGTACTGAGCAGGGGAGAAAGAAAGAACAGGAGTGTGTGTGTGTGTGTGTGTGTGTGTGTGTGTGTGTGTGTGTGTTGTGGGGCGGGGGGAAGGAGGGGTGTGAAGAGAGATTATAGTCAATGGGAAAGTTCTCTCTGATATCAATACAGAGGAGGAGAGGGGAAACCCTACATGGGGTACACATAGAGAGCTGAGACCAGAATTATTGCACACACCTGCCTATAGCCTCAGCTCAAACTTGGGAGAGAGTCTAGAAAAAGGGATGAAAATGCACAAAAGTTTTGAAGGAGTTCTTCCCAGGAAAAGATCAAAGGGCCAGACTGAGGTCCCTAAAGCCTAGACTTGGGTTTTGGTAAGACTTGGGTTCTTGGCAATGAAGACTGGACATGGTCCTTTATTTGCTATAAGATGTTAAGTACATTAGAATATACTCAGAAACTGCCATGACCCTCAGCATTGCCATCTGTGAAATGGGAGGATAATTGCACTATTCTTGCTTGGCAGTGGGAATGAAGGGTTACATAATGCTGGCAGCCATAGCATTTTGAATGTGGGCTATGTGCTAAGCACGCGTAAGTACAAACAGACCCGGGATCATCAGGGGTGCGGCCTGGGTCTGCTAACTAACTGTGAGTGAGAATATGTCATGTGTGGTTCTTTTTGCGACTATAAAGGATCTTACAAGAGATGATTGGGCACATTCTCGGCCTGCTGTGTGGATTTTGGTGAAGTTAACTTCTCTGAGCCTCTCTGGTAATTTGTTTTTAAACTGAGATCATCTTCGAGTTCTTTTCCAGTTCTGAAATGCAGTCAGTTCTGGAATAGAGATTCATTAATTTAGTCGTTTGTTTTGGAGTTACACCCAACTGTGCTCCCGGCTTACTCTTGGCTCTGTGCTCAGAGATCCCACCTGGAGGTACTCTGGGAACTCTATAGGTAGTACCGAGCATCAAACTGGGGTCAGCTGAATGCATAGCAAATGTCTTAACCCCCTGCACTATCTCTCAGGCCCCAACTGATTTATTTAGTGTGGAGAAGGCTAAGATGAACTCTAGAAAAGAGCTTCAGAATGTGTGTTCATGTCCGCTGAGGGATGGTAACCCACTCTTCATTATTTTTATTATTATGTTTTTCTTTTTGGGGGGCCACACCCAGCAATGCTCAGGGGTTACTCCTGGCTCTGCACTTAGGAATTACTTCTGCTTGGGGGACTCGATGGGATAACAGGGATTGAACCTGGCTCCGTAAGGCAGACTTCCAACCTGCTGTACTATCACTCCAGCCACCTACCCACTCTTATTTTGAGGCCGAATATGAGGGCACAGATTTTGTCTTAGAGGAGATGCAAGTGACCTTTCTGCCTTGTAGGGAGTCATTTGGGGTAGGAGCAGATTTCTTCCACTCTCTAAACTCATGGCGGCAGACTCTGACCCATTTTTGCTGACTCCGAACTTCAACACCCAGGTCTTCTCCGACTCTCTGAAGAAGTAGGCTGTGGCCCCTTTCTTTCTGTTTTACTCTGCGTTCCTTTTGCCTAGAGCAGGTTGTAATGACTGTGATGCCAATCTCTGTAGACTCTCCCCTCCCTCCCACCCCTCAAGGCAGAAGGATGTTCCATCTTTATTTGGTTCACCTCCTGGTGCTTGGGGGAGTTTGCTGAATGAGGGTTTTGTTCATGTTTCAGAGGGTTCCTATGGTGGCCTTGTTTCATGGTGGAGGGGCTCCTCCTCCATGCGCCTTTTTTTTAATTAAGGAAAACTCCCATGATGCTGTCTCTCAAGGGACTTTAGATGTTATTTCCCTTCCTATCTTCTTTTTCTGGAAATTGACACCCTGAAACATAATTTTGTATTTTAAATTTTTTATTTTCGGGTAACACCTGGCTCTGTGTTCAGAGTCACTCTTGGTGGTGCTTGGGGAACCCTGTATGGTTCCGGAGGTGAAACTGAGATACTGTATGCAAGGCATCACTTTACCCCTGTTACCCTCTCTCCGACCCCTCTGGATGTGATTTGAAAGGCAGTCCTCCTTCCTTCTGTCCTGGGCATTGACTTCCGTCTCTGGTGGAGGGATGGGGTGGTTCTGTGTGAGTGGGGGCAGAGCCACCTCTGTCTCTCTTTCCACTGCTCTGGACCAGGAAGCTGACACTGGTAGAAGATCCCCATCCTAGCTTCTGGTGGGGACTGCCATTGGGTGAGTGAAGCAAGAGATCTAAAGGAAGGAGAGAGAAACTGAGCTATGTGTCCCTGTGTCCTTGGCTCCCTTGAGGCATCATCAACTTCCCTAGGACTTGCACCCAGGATGGGTTTATGGTGCCCCACCCAGCTTCCTCTGAATGCTCCCTCTGTCCTCCAGGAAGAGCTGGGGTGCTGACTCCCCACTGTTACTGCTCGGGGGTGATTCTCCATCCCTCATCTTCTCTTTCTCTTGCCCTCACCCGCAAACCTGATATCTTCCCGCCTCTGCTCACAGTGGACCTTCTGTGTGGGAATGTGAAAATGCAGATGGAGAGGTTACCCCCCCCCCCAACCTCCTCACAGGATTCCTGCCCCCTGTCCTCCAGGAGGGAGCACTCCCACACTGATCACTCCCCAGGGGCTGGATTCCCACCTGGCCAGGTCTGACCCTGCTCTTCTCTGTCCTGGCTTTGCAGAAGTGGAGCTGCCCCTGAAGAAGGATGGGCTCACGTCGGAAAGCACCACCCTGGAAGCGCTGCTCCGCGGTGAGGCTGTGGAGAAGAAGGTGGATGCCAGGGAGGAGGAGAGCATCCAGGAAATTCAGGTACTTCCGGCCAGCAAGGGGGAGATGGCACCTCCAGAATGCGCACCCACCTCCCTCCAGGCACGGTGCTGGGAAGCATGAAAATACCTTTTGGATTCAATGTGGGGGAAATTTCCTGGGGAAATTCATTCCCCAGGAGAAGCTGTTGTTTTCCTGAATTTTGTTCCTCTTCCTTCATTCCCTCTGCTTATTCATTCAAAACTGTGCACATGATTTGGGGTTGGGGTGCTCAGGGGGACCATACCATGTCAAGGATTGAACTTGGGGTTCCTGCAGGCATAGCCTGTGCTCCTGCCCATTGGTCTCTCTCTGGTTTTCCACACTGTATTATTTTGAGCCAACCATGTGCCAGACACTGTGCTAGACCCCGGGACACTATGGTAAGCAAAACTGATAGAGACCTTACCCGGGAGTGGCCAGTCCATGCTTGCTCTCGCCTCAGCCCTGCCCTTTCCTCAGCATGGTTCATTGGTCTCTCTGTCTTGTCCCTTTTCCAAGGCTGGTTTTGTGTCACCTCCAACAGGGCTGGTGACTCCTGTCCCCTCGCTGCCCTTTCTATCCGTAGCACTGTATTTTGCGGGAGTCTCCCTAGTGGTGTTCAGGGGACCAAGAGGCTACTCTCAGAGATTCTCAACCAACCAGGCTCCGGGGACCACACTTGATGGTGCTGAGGTGGGGGGTGGGCATGTGGTGCTGGGAACCAGGTGAGGCACGTACTAGGCATATGCCACAGTCCCTGTCCTATCCCCTGCTTTCCCCCAGCACTAGCAAAACTTCACACAGATTTTATTTATTTTTTACTTTTGGGAGGCTGGGTGGAGAGAGAGCCTCGGTGATAGTCAAGGGTCTGTGCTTCTGGCTCTGTGCTCTGGGATCATACACAGGGGAACCCTATGGGATACCAAGGATTGAATCTGGGTTGGGCACATGCAAGGCACATGCAAGTGCCTTACCCACTGCATTATCTCTCTGGCCCTACACACAGCATTTTAATGAGGTGCTGCTACCTCTGCTTCTCTATCAGTCTTGAATCCCCAAGGGTTGAATACAATGGCCAGCACAGAATATTGTAATAATATTAATTAATACAAATACTAAAAATGGCAATAATGAAGTAGAAATTCTTAAAGTGAAACCAAACTTATATGAAATCTTTGTTATATTCTACATATACACTACACTGTTCACATACCACTTTAAAAATTATTTAGTTTTTGAAGGGGGTCTTGGGGGCAAGAGTGATGCCCAGCACTATCAGAGGTCTATATATGGTACCAGCGATTTGAATTAGGGTCAGCTATATGCCCAGCAAGTTCCTTAAACACTTGTGCACTCTCTTTGGCCCTCACATATTTTAAATCAGTTTAATATTTCCATATGAACTATGTATGACAAGAACTGCTCCCTGAGGAACTGGTGCACTTTGGGTTTGCTTCATTAGTGCCAGTAGCTGGTGAGTTCTGACAGGTGGGGGCCCCGCTGTGGAGGGCAATGTGGTGCCCGGGTGGAGGGGGTATCAGGCAGGGTCCTGCATGAAGCTGGGGCTCAGTGATGATGTTGGCTTGATCCCCAGGTCTGGTCTCCTTCTTTGCCCTCCCCAAGTTTGGTGACCAGTCCTGTGATATCCTTGTTGTCCCAGCATGGCTTATGTGTTTTGTCTGTGTCCCTCCTGCAATAATAAAGAACCCTACTGTTTTGTTTGGGGGGCCATATCCAACAATGTTCAGGACTTACTCCTGGTTCTGTGCTCAAGGAGCACCTCTGGTGGGGCTCAGGGGAATCATATGCGATATTGGGGATTAAAATGGGGTCAGGGAGCCAGAGCCGTAGTATAGTGGGGAAGGTGTCTGCCTTGCACATGGCTGACCCAAGTTCGATCTCCAGCATCCTATGTGGTCTCCTGAGCACCGCAGGAGTAATTTCTGAGTACAGAGCCAGGAGTAAGCCCTGAGCATTGCTGGGTGTGACCAACCCCCTCCCCGCCCCACTGCCCCCCAACTGCCTAGAGGGGGGAGGGCTTTCTTGGAGGGAATTATCCCCAGCCCACTCCCACCCAGGCCCACACAAGAGCCCAGTCACAGGCCTCCTTGGCTCTGGCCCACACAGCCCTCCAACTGCCCCTCCCCCAATAATAATAATTTTTTTAATAGGGTCAACCTTCTGCAAGGCAAGTGCCTTAACTCCTGTAATTTTTGAACACCCCTTGAGGGCATCTCCCACTCTTACCTTTCTCTCCTCCCCCAGATTCATCGGGGAATCCTGCCAATGGGCCTTCAAGGGAAATTCAGAGCAGAGCCCCTTCCTACCAAGCCCCGCTGCTTCTGCCAGCCCAGCCACGCCGACTCCGTGGCTCTCTGGGGGAGCACTCTCTCCCTGTTCCTGGGAGCACTCTCTCCCTGCTCCTGGCCTGCAGGGGGCCACTAGGATCTCAGTGGGATCACAGCCTTCCTGGGTTCTGTTCTTTCTGCCTCAGGGCTCCCTCTGTCCTCACTGCACCAAGACCCCAGCAGACTTCTTCCGGATGCTCACCTCCTTCAATAGCTTCTTCATCTTTTTTCCTTTGTCCTGAAGATCCTCTGACCTGGAATTCCTACACCACTCGGACCCCTAATCCCCAACTCTGTCTCCTCTTTGCTGAGCGCTCTTTCCCCTTCTAAGGCACTGAGAAACATGCCACTGGACGATGTCATTGTCTGTCTAATTCTCTTTTATTCTAGTTGCACATTAAACTCCTTAGCATCGGGTCTTGCTTGATCGCACGGCCCAAGGTATCCAGTACCTGATGCCTTGCGGGCTCTGTGACTATGGCTGAGCAGGCACCCTGGAGTGGCCCTCTGCTGCCTGTGTCCTTCTCCATCTGGCCTTGCATGCGGGAGTGGCCGTGGAGAAAGGGATGTCAGATAGGAGATTTTCCCTATGTTCCAGGCCAGAGAGAATGGAATCTTTAAAAAGGCATCTCTCTCTCTCTCTCTCTCTCTCTCTCTCTCTCTCTCTCTCTCTCCTGACACAGCCACAAACCATTGTTATCAACACTGTAAAGACTGTTTAGAGGAACAGGGAGAAAAGTTATTTTAAAACGTGTTTATTTTCCAGTGATGTCCTTGGACGGGCGTAGCGGGTGTGTTAAGAGGAGGGGAGTCGTTGTGTTTGTAGCGGGATACCCCTCCGTTCCTGAGACAGGATGTTCCCTCTCCTTCCTGAGCCCCAAATATGAGCTTTGTGGAGAAGGAACCTGAATCTCCTTCTGGGGTGTGGGAGAGATGGGTTTTGGGGGATGAGGGTCACACTGCAGGACCTGCAGACACATGGTGAGGTTGAGGAGGGGCACTGAGCCTGGGGTACTGAGCACAGGTTCTAGGGACCTAGAGAAGCCCTAGAAAGAGAGTGGGCCCTGAGGCCAGGCGGTCTCTCCATCCAGGGACTAGCTCAGCCCCTGCCACCCATCTCGCCCTCCCAACTCAACTCTACCCGCAGCTAATAAATACTTCCCTAATAGGTAAGTGTGAAGTACGAGTGGCACTGAGCTGCCGGAGGCAATGACCTTCACATTCGAGCAACTTGGAACTTAGCATGATTAAGTGACTTCATACAAAGTCTGCAAGCGGACGGGGTGAGCAGCAACCACGGTGGCAGAACATCCCGTGTCTGTGTCCGGCAGCTGCTCGCCGCGGGCCGCTCTCCTTGAAGGTCTCTGCTCTGCCCACCCACACTGCAGGAAGCGGGATGCAGGAGGTTTGCCCTGGCCCAGGGCCCTATCCCCGAGCCGCAGGCCCCGGGTCATGTCCAGCTGGCACTGCCACGTCTCTGTTAGGTCGCCGAGCTTGGTCCAGACCCCTGTGGCTATCCGCAAGGCCAGATGGAGAAGCCACGGAGCAATGTGCCTGACAGTGTTGGAGCCACCGGAACCAGAACCAGCAGTGCTCAGGAGCTACCAGGGCCACCCCCGGTGCTGTTGGGGGGGAGGGGAGCGTGTGAGCTGGAGGTGGACTCAGAGCGCATGCTCCACACTTGAGCTGCAGGCCGGCCTGCGCCTGATCTGAGGTCTCTGGGAGCGCTAGTGATTGTGGGTGATGGGGGCTCCTGACCCCTAGGGAAATTGGAACAGGACCCTCAGAGAAGTGGATGGGGAGACCTTAAAAACTTTATCCAGGGGGCTGGAGTGATAGCGCAGCGGGTAGGGCATTTGCTTTGCATGTGGCCAACCCCGGTTCCATTCCCAGCGTTCCATATGGTCCCCTAAGCACCGCCAGGAGTAATTCCTGAGTGCAAAGCCAGAAGTAAACCCTGTGCATCACCAGGTGTGCCCCCAAAAGAAAAACAAACAAACAGAAAAAAAACCCCAAAAAATCTTTCTCCTGCTCTGAGGGCCCAGGGTGCTATCTTGGAGGCCATGGCGGTGCTGGACACCAATGCAACTTGAGCCGCCTACTGGGCTTCTCATGTGTGCCTGTCACCCCATCTCACGCACAGGCCCATCTTTCATGCCTGTCCAATGTCTCTCTTTCCTGGTATCCGGTCTCTTTCTGCTCCCCATCAGCCTCTTTTTGCCCTGCCTCAGGGAGTCTGCTCATGTGGTTCCCTTTTCTGGGACCCTTCCCTGCCCACCTCTCTAGACTCAGCCAGTCCTTGTGCTTCTGATCTACCCCGCAGGGTCCTTAGGACTCTTCCCCAGAGCATCTTTCCCCAATCCCCAGAACCGTGAGCGTCACTGCCAACATCCTAGGCATCATTCAGCCTGACCTGACTCTCGCTGCCTTGTGGCAGTCGTTGTTCTGTGGTTGTGTTGGGGATGGAACAGGGATCCCTTCTGCCCCACTGTGAAGCTTTTGGAAGCCAGAACTGTGGCCCCTTTGTGCTAGTTTGCTTCGCTGGACAGATGCTGGCTGATGGCATGAGTAACTTTCTGCTCTCCTGAGGGGCACAGAGGCATGAAGCAGTGATGGCTTGGTTAGGGTCACGGCATGAGCCTCCTAATGAACCCCCCGGGGCCCCTGACATGGTTCCTGCATGCTTAGCCCCCACTGAGCCCTCTCTGTGGGGTTGGGGCCTCGCCTGCCACCACCTGCCCTTAAGTCTGAGACACACACCCAACTTTCTGCACCCCCGAAGAGCATGATGTGCCCAGGCTGGTATGGGAAGGGACAGCCACTCTGCTTCTTCAGCACAGAAGCTGAGAAATGAAGGGTTTCCTGAGTGATCAATCTGCCTTGGCTTTGGTAAGGTTAGCTTTTGAGCATTCAAATCTGTTTTATTTGAGGAGGGAGGAAGCTCCCAAGAAATTCTCAGAGGTTCTAGTGGGCCACTCTTGGAAGTCCTTGGCCATTGGAGATGGCTGGATGGTTCAGTGCTCTGGGCCAGGGTGAGAGCCTCTAGGACTGTACCCGGTGGCACTGGGGGACCACACAGCTGTGGATTGAACTTGGGGACTCCTCATGGAAAGACTATGCTCCAGCCCTCTGAGCTGGCTCCCAGCCCTATAAAACTATGTTCAGCCGCAGTTTATTCACCTGCAAAATGAAAACTGGATTTTCAGCTATAGTTTAGACACAGGACCGAGGAAGAGAGATAATGAAATTCATGATCTTTAAACTTCATTGCAAGGAAAGTGCTGTAATGAAAATCCATTTTTTAAAAAAATAACAAGGTGTGATTATGAACAACACATTAATGTCAAATTCTGGGGACACGAACAGGAAGTTGCTTGTTTTCATCAAACAGGGCAAGGTTCCAGGAAGGCAGGGAAAGGAGAAATATATTTTTGTACAACTGAAGTGGCTCTTTAGAAATAAAAGGAAAATCATAGTGAAGAAAAATAAGTAGTACAGGACATCTTGAAAAGATGGAGACCATATAGAAAAGTACCCTTGGCAAGGTATCTTTTCTTTTTTTAAGAATTAAAAAAAAATAGTTTGATTAAATGTTTGGTCTGAGTTTCTGCCTTCTCATTGTGGTGGTTGTAGGGATCAGAGGTTCCCACACGCTCGGTTGCAGTGTGCTCACTCTTGGTGCTTGCACCCTTGGGTGCTGTGTGCTGCAGATGGCACCCATTGTAGGGATGTGGGGAATCCCAAAGACAGGCCAGCTGAGACTGTGAGGCGAGCATGTGGCCTGAGACCTGCAAAGCTGGTATTCACTCTTCCAAGTTCTGCCCGGGGCTCCCAGAGGGGTCTCTCTTTTTTTTTTCAGAGGGGTCTCTATTAAAAGAAATTTTTTGTGGGGTGGGGGAGACAGCAGGAAGCTAGTTGAAAAGGTCATGGTAGGGCCGGGGAGAGAGTCCAGCTATTAGAGTGCTTGCCCTGTAGTTGGCCTTGTGAGGTTGAGGACCAGGGTTCAATTCCTGGCATCCCATATGGTCCCCCGAGCACCTCCAGGAGTAATCTCTGGGTGAAAATCCAGGAGAAAGTTCTGAGTATCGCTAGGTGTGGCACAAAAACAGAAACAGAAACAAAAAGAAAAAGAATTAAAAATAAAGGATATAAAAGTAAAGGTGGGCTGGAGCAATAACACAGCAGGTAGAGAGTTTGTCTTGCATGTGGCCAACCCGGCTTCGATTCCCAGCATCCCATATGGTCCCCCGAGAACCATTAGAAGTAATTCCTGAGTGCAGAGCCAGGAGTAACCCCTGTGCATCGCCGGTGTGACCCAAAAAGCAAAAAAGAATAAAAAAAAGTAAAGGTGATTGGAGTGGGAAGGCCAGGCAGGAAGGGGCCCCGATTTGAGAGGGCTCTAACCCCATGAGAGCACCATCTGGCAGGTTTCCAGGACTGCTCTCTAAGCATCTTTACTTCAGTCAAGAGCAATACCCTCCCTCCACCCCCCACTCCGCCCCCATGCGTCTCACCTTCGTATTTGATCTCTCAACTCTTCTGTTTATTTTCTCCTTTCAGAGGGTTTTGGAAAATGATGAAAATGTTGAGGAAGGAAACGAAGAAGAGGATTTAGAAGAAGATATTCCCAAGAGAAAGAATAGGACCAGAGGACGGGTAAGACTGACTTGGAGGTCTGGGGGTTGGGAGTTCTGGGAGGGAGGGAAGAGATCAGGTTGGTTAAGGTCAGGCTGGAAGCCTGCCTCATGAGCAAAGGGGAGAAGGCAGTTGGAATAGAGAAGGGATCACTAAAAAAATGATGGCTTGAAATCATGCTAAGTGAAATGAGTCAGAAAGAGAGGGACAGACATAGAAAGATTGCATTGATCTGGGGAACATAAAGTAACAAAATAGGAGACTGACACCCAAGAATAGCCGAGATAAGTACCAGGAGGTTTACTCCATGGCTTGGAGGCCAGCCACACATGCTAAGGGAAAAGGCAGCTCAGATAGAGAAGGGAGCACCAAGTAAAGGGTGTTGGGAGGATCCTCCAAGGATGGGAAATGCATGCTGAAAGTAGACTATAGACTGAATATGATTGCCACTCAATGCCTCTTCTTCAAACCACAGCACCCAAAAGGAGAGAGAAAACAAAAGGGAATGCCCTGACACAGAGGCGGAGGGGGGGATGGGGGGGAGATGGGGGTGGGTGGGAGGGATCACTGGTAGTGGAGAATGGGCACTAGTGGAGGGATGGGTACTCGATCATTGTATAACTGAAACCCAAGAACAAAAAACTGTAAGTATACAACTGTACCTCATGGTGTTTCACTAATAAACATTAAAAAAACAAAAGATGGCTTGAGGAACTGGTCGGGATGGGAGATGTGTATTGAAAGTAGATAAAGGGCCAAACATGATAACCTCTCAGTGTCTGTATTGCAAACTATAATGCCCAAGTATGGAGAGAGAGTATGGGGAATATTGTCTGCTATGGAGGTAGGGGAGGGTGGGAAAGGAGGGACATACTGGGGATATTGGTGGTGGGGAATGTGCACTGATGGAGGGATGGGTGTTTGATCATTGTGTAATTGTAACCCAAACATGAAAGCTTGTAACTATCTCATGGTGATTCAATAAAATTTAAAAAAAAGTCCAAGAAAACACTTGGCCCCATTCAGAGTCCCATTACAGCTAGAGAGAAGGTTTGGCCCCCGTTTTTCTGCAGTCATTTCATTAGAACCTTGTTGAAGAGAGAACAACCTGAGTTGGCTTTGCAGGAAATGGTGCCATTTGAGCTTTCTGTTATACCTGGTTTCAAGCCACAGGTTCTAGGGAGCTTTTGGCATAGCCTAAAGTGAGAAAAGAAAATTCCACAAGAACTCTAATTGCAGGTGACAGTTGGTAAGAGTTTAGAGCAGGAAAGTGGGGGAGAAGTGGTTAAAGTGTTCTATGGGTTAGGAGTGGGGTATGAGAGCAAAAAGTGTGACTATGGTCCCTATTCCCCATAATCCAGTAAAGGAACCTTGTCCTGCCCTGGCCCCAGAGGTCAGAAGACTCACTCTGCGCTTACTCCCCCCTGGCATTAGAGCTGGAGCTGGTTGAGAAAGTGGGGTGGGGGAGTGGACAGGGAATGGATCCTGGCTCCCTAGCAGATTTCCCATAGGTCTTGGAAGCTTGCAGGCCTGGGAATGGCAAGAAAAGACTAGAAGCCCGTGGAGTGTGGTGGAGATATGCATGGTGAAAGGAGAGAAGCATTAGAGGGGCAGGACCGAGGCAGGGGTGCTGGTGGGCAATCAGGTAGGGCCTCCAAAGCCTCAGGTTAAGGTCCAAAGGGGCATCCCTGGTCACATCAGGGCACTGCTGAGCATCTGACTCTCCGTGGGCAGGAAGAGACTGCTCTGTAAGCTACTGCCTTTCGCCCAGAGAATGAGCACACCTAGGCCCTCCTGCTGCCTTTGGCTCTGGGTAAAAGGTGAGTTTTGGCACACCAGGTTGGGGGGGCGCAGTGGGTCACTAGGCAAGCCTGTCTCTTCCTGTAGCACCGGAGCCTCGTATCCACCAGAATCAGCAAGAGAGTAGCTCCAAATGTAGATTTCCAGGCTGGCCCCAGAAGTTAACAGAGTGGGTTTCTAGGTGGCCAGAGCAAGTGGGCTGGCACTGTCCTTGCTGAGAGGGAGCTTCCCATTGTACCCAGATGGTCTCTGACATGACATGGTACAGCTCACATAGATGTCATCTAGTGCTACAGTTACCATCACTCCTGTGGTCTGTTCTTTACCGCTGCTTTTTGGTGTGTGTGTGTGTGTGTGTGTGTGTGTGTGTGTAATTTTTTGAGAATAAACTCAAGACATTTTATCATTTGACCTTCACATACCATTAAGGTAAGTATCTCCAACAGCAATCATGGTTGAGTCTAATAAAACAACTATTCTAGGGCTGGAGAAATAATGCACAGGGCAGGGCACTCACCTTGCAAGGTGGCTGACTTGGGTTCAATCTCTGGCACCATAGATAATCCCCTGAGTCCTGTCAGAAGTGATCCAGTAAATCCTAAGCCATTCCAGATGTGGTCCCAAAACAAAACAAATTAACAACAACAACAAAGAACCCCACCCTTAAGCAAATAAATTACTATTTTAGTAGCTACTTTGCCATTTTCTCTGATCATTTTCTCCTGGCCTTCACAAAAATTTCTTTTCAGTGTGTGTGTGTGTGTGTGTGTGTGTATTTGGGTACACATGGTGGTGCTCATGGCTCACTCCTGGCTCTGCACTTAAGGATCACTCCTGCAGTGCTTGCAGGACCATATAAGGTGCCAGGGATGGAACCAGGGTAAACCTTAACCTCTTTTTTATCCCTCTCCTCCACCCCCCTTTTTAGTTATTTTAGAAACTTAGGTTACTTTTTCTCGAGCGGGCCCAGTAACGTCTCCATTGTGAGACTTTGTTGTTACTGTGTTTGGCATATCGAATACGTCACGGGTAGCTTGCCAGGCTTTGCCATGCGGGTGAGTTACTCTCAGCAGATTGCCCAGCTCTCCGAGAGGGGCAGAGGAATCAAACTCGGGTCAGCTATGTTGGCTGTGTGCAAGGCAAACGCCCTACCCGCTAGCATAGCATATGCCAAACACAGTAACAACAAGTCTCACAATGGAGACATTACTGGGCCCGCTCGAGCAAATCGATGAACAATGGGAGGACAGTGCTACAGGCTATTTTTATTCTCCCACACAACTCTTCCTTGCTATACCCTAAGACACACATTCTCCACTCCCCTGCCCTCCTTGCTGTTTATTTATTGAAAAACTTGTAGAACTTCTCATTCTAGGTTTGCTACTATTTAACATATTCCTCTGGAAACCCATGGTTTGGTTAGAAACTTGATTTGCTTCAGGATATTGGAATGTGTCCCATTATTTCTTGGTGGGGTGTGTGAGTCCTTTCTGAGTTAGCCTAGGAGGGAGCTGTTCGTGTGTGTGTGTGTGTGTGTGTGTGTGTGTGTGTGTGTGTGTGTGTGTGTAACATTGATCAGTGGGCTGGGGTGTGCCCACTGCATGTCTCCTTATGAAGTTCCCCTTTACATTCTCACATTCTCACCTCAACATGTTAGTGGCCAGAGAGGAACTTACCAAGACCCATGACTTCATGGTGGTGGGTAGGGGGGAGGTTACAAAATCACAAGCATCCAATTTCATCATTCCAGGGCGCTGTAGAGCAAGAAATGGAGCCTTTTGTGGACTCTTAGAACTGGGTGACTTCAGGCTTGCTGGTGGGGTGTGTGCGTCCTTTTCCTCTGTCCCATTCAAATTTACTCCATAGATTGTAGACATGGTCCCGTTTTCACCCCCACACCTTACTTGAATCCAGACAGCTGAACTCACAGGCTTGAAGAGTGTTTATTTGGTGAAGACCTTGTAGAACTTCTCATCCCAGGATTGGAAGACCTGTCAGAGTGAGACATTCTCATTTCAATTCTTTGGAAGGATACCAATCACTTAGATCCGTATCTGCTGTCCACTGGACAGCGCAATGGGGCTCTTTGCAATAAAGACTGCCACGGGGAGGCTGATTCCTGTGTGGTGGCCTTGTGCTGTGTCCTCTACTCTTCACGGTCCATGACAACAAGCTCTGGTCACCTGGGATATGCATGGCTTGAAATATTGTTGTTCCACCTTGAAATGTGCTGAAAGTGCAAAATATGCATCAAATTTCAAAGGCTATATTAAAAAACACAGAGCTGCTTGTTAATATTTTCTTTACACATTGATTCACATTAAAATGATGCCACTTTGGATTAAATGAAAAAAATTTTTTTTTGTTTTTGGGTAGTGCTCAGAGCTTACTCCTGACTCTGTACTGAGGGATCACTTCTGTCAGAGCTTGGGGGATCATATGAAGTGCTGGGGAACCTATCCAGGCTGGCCACGTACAAGACAAGATGAAATATTTTATTAAAATTAATTGTGTCTGTTTCACTTTTAAGTTAAAAAAATGTGGCTATTGGAAACTATTTAAATTAATTTTTTGTTTTGTTTTGTTTTTTGAGTGATACCTGGTAATGCTCAAGGGTTACTCCTGACTCTGCACTTAAGATTCATTCCTGGTGGGGCTCAGAGTACAATATGGAATGCAGGGAATTGAACCCAGGTTGGACTCATGCAAGACAAGTGTCTTACCTGCTGTACTATGTCTCTAGCCCCACTACTGGAAATTTTAGATGGCTTGTATGGCTCCCATTAGATTTCTGGTGGTCATCATTACTTTTTTTCTTTCATTAATTTTTTTTTCCTGGTTTGGGGTTACTCCTGACTCAAGGGATAGAGCTTTGTGAGACCAAATGGTTCCAGGGGTAAAACCCAGTCCTCTGAGTCATCTCCCTGACCCTGTTACTACTTCCTTAATTCTAATAAGTTGGTATTATTACTCCCAGAGAGGTTTAGTACCTTGCTTGAGGTATACTTCGCCTTAGTAAAGAAGTAGTTAGAATTTGAGCTCAGACCCAGCTTGGTGGCAGCCTGTAGCCAATGACTGCTTTGTTCAATGAATGACTGGATGCTGGAACAAGAAAGCAAAGTCTGGGCAGAAGGATAGTACAGGGGGTACAGTGCTTGCATGTGGTCAATCCAGGTTCAATTTCCAGCACCCCATTTGGTTCCTCAAACCTGTCCAAAGTG